AAGTGACATAAATCGTCCCGGCGGCCGCGGGGGGATTATATTCGCTGCCTGAATTCTGATCACCTTCAGCTATTCATAGTTCCCATTGAAACGCTGCCCGCGGCCACAAATGTAAATGTGAAACTCCAATTATCAGTAGCAAGCTGCTTTGGCGTCTCTCACATATGCATCGCGTGTATGCCAAGCAAAATAGCAGTCGTAATGAATATAATTAGATAAATAAAAGAAGTTGACCTTTTCCTCGACATCAAAAATGTAAAAAGCCGAATAATATATTTAAAAAAAAAAACGGTGAGCTTTCGGCCACTGGCCTTTATCAAACCAACGTGACAACAATGTTAAAAGACGATCCTGTGAATAATCTGTCTGCCATTTTTCAAAAACCGAAGATCGTGATATTTTAGGAAAGGCGCTACTCATAAGGGCAAACTATTAGATCGATTGTCTACATAGTGTCCGATGTACGTAACATACATAATATACAATTGTACACGTAGCTGTCAAACACACATCGTATGGAAGGTATGTACACTAACGCCGATGTGCATCACACACATAACAAAATAATATACACATACACATATTAATCGATTGAGTTGAAAAGGCTACACGCTCACAAGATACACATGATACAGGCGCTTACACGATTGGCCACGACGAAAGATTTGAGTTTATGTGCGGGCGGTTTGCTTTTATAAGTAGGGATTCAGCGATTTTTCTGTCCGGGTGGTCTTTGGAGCGATAAAGGACGCGAACCTGAAGAGGAAGGGATGATTTGTTTAGCGGCGCGCCGGGGTGGTGCTCACGGAAGTGGTCTCCCATCGGGGTCCCTTCGGATGCGCTCAAGGCGTCTCGTAAATGTTCGTTAAATCTTAGTCGAACAGGTCGCTTTGTCTCGCCAATATATGTGCCGTCGTCACCCTTTCCTTCACACAACTTACAATTTAGCCTGTAGACGACGTTCTTCTGTGTACAATCACCTGAAAAATCTGATTTACACATGTTGCATCGTGGGCCTCCAGGGCAGATAGGTTTAGATAGTGATGATCTAACCAGTTTGTTTCGTAGCTTTTGGGGGTTCCTCCATGCTATCCTGACAGCTAAGCCAGATTTCCTAACTTTACTTTGAATTTTGCATAGCAGTTCTTCATCTATGACCTATGTACGGTAAACATAAGAAGCCATCTTCGCCCTTGTCTCGACTAACTTTACCCATCCTGGATCTGGACCCTTGCTGTTTGACCTCACACAACAGCCTTCTAAGAACTTTCTCTGGGTACCCATTTTGAACCAACAATGTCCAAATCTTGTCTATACTCGCCCTCTCTTTAGCACTGCTCGAAGAGTTCCTGATCGCTCGCCGAAACTGACTACGGACTATGTTTTGTTTAGTAGACTTCGGGTGGGCTGATTTATAGTGCAGGATGATCCCTGAGTTCGTAGGTTTTATGTAAAGTTCCGTTTCAATCTTCGTAACCTGGCCCTGGGTCACTACTGTCACTAAGGTATCTAAGAAGGCCACACCCGACTTTGTACCGGAATGCTCCATGGTAAAGCGGAGTGTCGGATGAAGCGAGTTTAAATGCGACAGAAAATCTACTAAAGCCTGCTCTCCATAGGTCCATACGCCTGCGTAATCGTCAATGTACCGAACCAAAAAGGACGGTTTCTGATCCAGGTTTTCTAACGCTTTGCGCTCAAAACGATCCAGAAAGAGAATGGCTATGGGAGGGGCACATGGATTGCCCATAGCGATCCCTAGTGTTTGTCGGTAAAATTTATCATCAAACCTAAATACGTTCTTGGTGAGACAATGCTGAAGGAGATGTTTAATATCATCCTGGGAGAGACCGAAGGTATCCACCTCATCCTGGTGAGCCTCTAACTTCTCCATCACCGCATCGATAGCCTCAGGGATGGGGATGCTTCCATACAAATTCACAACATCTATGCTGAAGAATATAGATCCCTCGGCGAGCCCCTGTCCCTCTGAGTGAGCTGCTAACCGCTGTAGGAAATCACTAGTACAAGTCACTTAAATAACAATAACAAGTCACTTAAATAACTAAAATAACAAGTCACTTGCTATTTTAGACGACTCCACAAACTACGAGGTTCTTGAGAAAAATCCTGTCCCCAAGGTAGAAGCCGAGACTAAAAGAGTTTTTAAAGCTGTGTCACAAGGAAAGTTGCCGGAGAACACCATTAAGGAGCTGACACCGGCCCATAGCAGGACTCCGGTATTTTATGGTCTCCCTAAGGACCACAAGGAGTCAGTGCCACTCAGGCCTGTTATATCTGGTTGTGGGGGTCCTACGGAAAAAACATCGTGTCTTTTAGAACGCATACTTAAGCAACTATTGAACTTTGTGGAAACGCACTTGTGGGACACTAGTGATTTCCTACAGCGGTTAGCAGCTCACTCAGAGGGACAGGGGCTCGCCGAGGGATCTATATTCTTCAGCATAGATGTTGTGAATTTGTATGGAAGCATCCCCATCCCTGAGGCTATCGACTGCGGTGATGGAGAAGTTAGAGGCTCACCAGGATGAGGTGGATACCTTCGGTCTCTCCCAGGATGATATTAAACATCTCCTTCAGCATTGTCTCACCAAGAACGTATTTAGGTTTGATGATAAATTTTACCGACAAACACTAGGGATCGCTATGGGCAATCCATGTGCTCCTCCCATAGCCATTCTCTTTCTGGATCGTTTTGAGCGCAAAGCGTTAGAAAACCTGGATCAGAAACCGTCCTTTTTGGTTCGGTACATTGACGATTACGCAGGCGTATGGACCTATGGAGAGCAGGCTTTAGTAGATTTTCTGTCGCATTTAAACTCGCTTCATCCGACACTCCGCTTTACCATGGAGCATTCCGGTACAAAGTCGGGTGTGGCCTTCTTAGATACCTTAGTGACAGTAGTGACCCAGGGCCAGGTTACGAAGATTGAAACGGAACTTTACATAAAACCTACGAACTCAGGGATCATCCTGCACTATAAATCAGCCCACCCGAAGTCTACTAAACAAAACAAAGTCCGTAGTCAGTTTCGGCGAGCGATCAGGAACTCTTCGAGCAGTGCTAAAGAGAGGGCGAGTATAGACAAGATTTGGACATTGTTGGTTCAAAATGGGTACCCAGAGAAAGTTCTTAGAAGGCTCTTGTGTGAGGTCAAACAGCAAGGGTCCAGATCCAGGATGGGTAAAGTTAGTCGAGACAAGGGCGAAGATGGCTTCTTATGTTTACCGTACATAGATGAAGAACTGCTATGCAAAATTCAAAGTAAAGTTAGGAAATCTGGCTTAGCTGTCAGGATAGCATGGAGGAACCCCCAAAAGCTACGAAACAAACTGGTTAGATCATCACTATCTAAACCTATCTGCCCTGGAGGCCCACGATGCAACATGTGTAAATCAGATTTTTCAGGTGATTGTACACAGAAGAACGTCGTCTACAGGCTAAATTGTAAGTTGTGTGAAGGAAAGGGTGACGACGGCACATATATTGGCGAGACAAAGCGACCTGTTCGACTAAGATTTAACGAACATTTACGAGACGCCTTGAGCGCATCCGAAGGGACCCCGATGGGAGACCACTTCCGTGAGCACCACCCCGGCGCGCCGCTAAACAAATCATCCCTTCCTCTTCAGGTTCGCGTCCTTTATCGCTCCAAAGACCACCCGGACAGAAAAATCGCTGAATCCCTACTTATAAAAGCAAACCACCCGCACATAAACTCAAATCTTTCGTCGTGGCCAATCGTGTAAGCGCCTGTATCATGTGTATCTTGTGAGCGTGTAGCCTTTTCAACTCAATCGATTAATATGTGTATGTGTATATTATTTTGTTATGTGTGTGATGCACATCGGCGTTAGTGTACATACCTTCCATACGATGTGTGTTTGACAGCTACGTGTACAATTGTATATTATGTATGTTACGTACATCGGACACTATGTAGACAATCGATCTAATAGTTTGCCCTTATGAGTAGCGCCTTTCCTAAAATATCACGATCTTCGGTTTTTGAAAAATGGCAGACAGATTATTCACAGGATCGTCTTTTAACATTGTTATCACGTTGGTTTGATAAAGGCCAGTGGCCGAAAGCTCACCGTTTTTTTTTTTAAATATATTATTCGGCTTTTTACATTTTTGATGTCGAGGAAAAGGTCAACTTCTTTTATTTATCTAATTATATTCAATATGTTCCTCGCTCGAGCACTTAGTAATATTACCAATCTAGCAGTCGTAATGAAGTTGGATCCCCTATCGGGAAGCCTTTCACGTATGAAGCGGTTTATGAATACCGGCTGACCATGACCGTAAAGGTGGCCTCATTGATCGCTGTTCAACAACTGAATCCACTGACCTTGACACTACAGACCACAGGCGACCGCCGCACCGACCGACTTTGGGTCCAGCAAATGATTTCATCGGCCGGCCGCGCCCCAAAAACCGAACCCCATTTACTGTCCCCGCAGAGACCTCATTGATCCACAATAGTCTCGAAGATGACCCCCTGATCCAAATCACCCCAACGTTACCCACTGATCCATCATCATCCGCTGAATGTCCAACAGATCGGTCGTGAACCGAATTGACCCTACTGATTCATCATAGCCCCGAGGCGACCGCACTGGTCCGTTATGAGCCAAAGGAGACCCCACTGACCGGTTATGACCCGCAGGTGACCCCACTGACCGGTCATGACCTCCAGGTGACCCCACTGACCGGTCGTGACCCTCAGATAACCCCACTGACCGGTCATGACCTCCAGGTGACCCCATTGACCGGTCGTGACCCTCAGATAACCCCACTGACCGGTCATGACCCTCAGATAACCCCACTGACCGGTCATGACCTCCAGGTGACCCCATTGACCGGTCAAGACCCCCAGGCGACCCCCACATGAACCCAATGACCGGTCATGACCCCCAGTCGACCCCCACATGAACCCAATGACCGGTCATGACCCCCCGGTGACCCCACTGACCGGTCGTGATCCGAGGAGTTTGACCCGGCAGCTGAGCGCCGCCCTGTCGCCGCTCTGCACCGTGACATCCACCCAGCTGTTGTTCTCCAGTGGCCGCTGCTGCTCCGACAGCCGTGCGTAATAGCGCTGCCAAAACTCGTCCGTAGCCAGTGACGGATCGTTCAGGTCCACACCTGTGTGACAAAGAGTCAGGTCCAGGTCAGAAGAGGTGGCTCAGGTCCAAGTCTTGGCAATACGGGGTCAGGTTTAAGTCTATAGCGACCTGTTTATAGTCAGAATCCACTATCAGCCAGAGCTGAAAAGCTATTAATATTTGTAATCAATGTTTGATAAGTGTGTCCCTGTTTTGGATAAGAGGGCATCATTTACAAAACGAGTACAGCTTGACATATATGTGTACGTCCCTGCGTTTCTGAGCTGTTTTTATTGACGTGCCTTCCATAGCCGTTCATAGGTATTTCATATCCTCACTTCAATTGCTCCAATATGTTAGTTCAAATAAAGGCTTCAAAGGAAGCAAATCATACCATTTCCAGATGTATCGATCCATAAACTAGGCGGCTGCCTTGAACAAACGTGGCAAACAATGTTTTAGTTGAACAGTAGAATAATAAACGAATGCTTTAACCCTCGCCCTGGCAGGGGGTCGATGCGACCCCCCTAAGGTTTTTCGAAGATAGCGTAAAAACGGCGGCGCGCAGCGCCGCCAAATGTGGCACAGCCTATGGGGCGACCTTTTTACATATGACCTGAAAAATTTCAGGTCCGGGTGACCTTGGGTCAGGTCACCAGGTCAGAAAAACCGGTACAAGGTCATGGTCAAATTTCAATTTTCTTTTTGCACCTGTCACAGTCTCACAGTTTCAGTCCATAGTCATCAGTCCATAACTCACAGTTTTGGACTGATTTCCTTCAAACTTTCAGGATGTGCTAAGTTCACCGAGTTGTATAACATATATTTCGGGTTTTTTGAGGTCACTGACCTGAGGTCAGTTAGAGGTCATTACGTCGTAATGTTAAGCCTATGGGAAAATATTCGGAAAATACTGGAGATATCCGCTTCGTTCTAACACTTTTGTGCTTTGAAACCACAGTACTTAACAGCAGGTCACTTGGTGCTTCTTTGTTTGGTGTACACACACACACACACACAACGAATTTTATTACAAACATAAATGGACAGAAATAAAAATAAGATGAACATGCAATTGGCGCAAAAGTGCCTTAGCACTTGATTCATGGCGCCTTTTGCTTAATCAGCATTTTGATTTCGTACACTTTTTACCTTATTATCTATGTGTTTGCTTACTTATTCATTTATTGACTACTTGTTGACCGCCGCTCGTGTAGGTGTGGTTACTTTTACCCGCTCAGTAATAAAGATGGATCAGCAGCCGGCAGCAGCAGTGCCAGGGGTTCCCAGAACTACAGACGAGGGTGTACATGATGTCATTAAAAACGTTTAGTTGACGTAATATAATTTTGGACCTGTTGTGCTAATGTCAGGAGTTGTTCGTGGTCGTTGGTTGTACCGTGTAGGAGGAGATTCAGTTTATATGAGTCTGGTTTGAGGGCGAAGTGTTCACAAATATTATGGGTGATGAATCTGTATAAGGTTCGTCGTTGTTCTTCATATGATGGACAGTGAAGAAAGTAGTGTTTAACATTTTCCAACTCGTTGCCACAGTGACAGCTCGGCGAATCTACTCTTTGTATTGTAAATTGATGCGCATTTAGTTTTGACATTCCTACTCTAAGCCTCGTTAATAGACAGTTGCCTATTTTCTTACCCAGGGAATAATATTTCAGTGGGTGCTCTTTTGCCTGCATTTTGTAAATTTCTTTGTTGAATGCCTTTTTTGTCCTCAGAGCTCTGCTCTCTTCCTTAAGTTGATTCCAAAGTCTCGTAGTTGATGGAACATACGAATTATGATATTTTTTAGTACGATTGACTGGTTCCGTTCTTGTTGTTGCGTTTCTTAAGGGTCTATCGATTTGATTGATTCGTTGTGGTGGTATTATTTCTTTGATATAGGATGGGATTTTTGGATTGTTAATGATAGAATAGAACATACTAAGTTTATGTTGTTTTCGTCTTTCTGATAAGGTAGACCATCCCAGATCTGTTCTGAGTTTGTCAGATGAAGTCCGAGTTAGGGTGCCGGTGATAACTCTAGCAGCCCTATTTTGGAGTCTTTCAAGTCTAATTGCGTCGCTGGTCGTTATAAGTCCGTCGTAGATCATGTCTGAGTTGTCGAAGTAGGGTCTTATGTAAAGTGTGTATATTTGCTCTAGTATCTTTCTAGGTAGATATGACGCTATCGGGTACAGGGGTCCTAAGTTTCTGTTTACTTTGCTTATTATTTCGTTGACGTGCTCCTTGAACATCAAGTCTTCAGAAAACGTAAGGCCTAAGTGCTTATGGTTTTTGTGTATGGGTATGAGTTCTCCTCCAAAAGTTAAATGAGGCAAGCTTTTATCAGTTTGCTTGTTGCTGAATGTTTGTTGAACTGTTTTTGTAGCATTAAATGTAATCAACCACTTCTCCCCATATTTATAAATTTCGTTCAAGTCGTTTTGCAGGGAATTTTCCACTTCAGTCAAAGTGGCTGACGTATGTGAAGCGTACATAGATGTGTCATCTGCAAAAAATAGAGTTTCGTTTGATGTTTTGTTAGATAGATCGTTTAAGTACAGAAGAGCCAAGAGAGGACCCAGGACCGAGCCTTGTGGACAGCCTGCATTAGTAGTGAGAATGGTTGAATAGGAGTCTTCTATTTTCACACGCTGCCTTCTATCTGATAAGTAAGAAGTGAGCCAATTTAGAAGGTTGCCGGTTATTCCAAATTCGTATTTACATTTATGAAGAAGACCCTTGTGCCAAATTTTGTCAAAATATCGGGAAATGTCCAAATATATGGCAGTAAAGTCTTTTCCATTGTCGATAGACTTGTACAAGTTATGTGAAAGGTACATCAATTGTAACTGGGTGCTATGATTTGGCCTGTAGCCACTTTGTTTTTCAGTGAGAAGATTGTTGTTCATTAAATGCTCATATATATGCTTGAATATCAGTCTCTCAAGAACTTTTGAGAGGCAAGATAGGAGGCTAATTGGGCGGTAATTCGATGCATGTGATGGCGATCCCTTGTTTTTAAAGATTGGTTTAATATTAGCAAGCTTCCAAGATCCTGGAAAGATGCCTTCATTTAGTGATTTATTGAATATCTTCGCTAATGGCTCGGCAATGATAATAGCAGTAAGCTTTAAAATTTTAGCGGGGAGTTCATCTGGACCAGTTGATTTATTTGGATCTAAGGCATTCAGGGCTTTTAAGACTTCTTGACTGCTTACGTTAATCGAATTTAAGGTTGGAAAAAGTACCGGCTGTGAAGTCAACTGGGTAGCGTGGGTATCGGGAACATCAATGTTTGATTGTGCTGCAAAAAAGTTGTTAAGAAGCGATGCTTTGTCCTTGCTTTCAGTAATTGTCTGGCCATCTGTCGTCTCAAGAGGTGGTATAGCTTTGTCTACTTTTCTTCCAGTTATATTACGTAGTGTTTGATGATACTTGTGGGGGTTCTGCTTGTTTTCCAGCAATACAGACACTTGTGTCTGCATGTATTGTTGTTTTCTTTGTTTTGTTATTGTTGTTGTTAGGTTGCGTTGTTCTCTCCACCTTCTCCAGTCATATTCAGTCTGGTTGTGCTTGGCGCGTTTAAACAGTCTGTCTCGTTTTCTGATTGCACGTTTAAGGTCAGCGGTCACCCAAGGTTTGTCTCTCTGTCTTATAGTCACTTTTTTGTTGGTATTGCTTGGTGTGCAGCATTTAACAAGTTAGTTGTGAAATCTTCTATTGCAGTATCAATGTCCTTTTCAATTATGTCATTCCAGTTTGTGTTCATAAGTGTTTGTGTTAGTTGGTCGGCGTTCAATTTGTCATAGTCCCATATTGTCTTGTACGAGTTTGGTATTGCTATCGGCTTCATTTGCAATGATACAAATGTTGGAAAATGATCTAATGTTGAGAAAGATGATAGGATACCACTGTCATTAATCAGTTGTGTATTATAAACAAAGCATAGATCACGGAGGTTTTTTACTTCAGGTGATGGTCTGGTGGGTTCACTTATAAGTTGTGCTAGCTCCAGTGCTTCTGCTACATTTTTCAATTTGTTATCAAATAATGTGATACCGCTGTGGTTGTTTTTGTTTTCTAAGTAAATATTACCTGCGTTAAAGTCACCCAGGACAATAATGCTGGAGGGATTGTGTGCATGGGCTGCACTTACACTTTCACTAAAGCTGTCTAAAAAATTGTCTAGTCTATCTGTGCTGAGGTTGGGTGGCAGGTAAAGGCAGCAGATGATTAAGGTAACGTTGTTTAGTTTTAATTTGGCCCAAAGCCATTCTTCATCATTTATTTCAAGTTCTGTGAGCCTAGTAATTGGTATAGTTGACTGGCAATATAAAGCTACTCCTCCTCCTCTTCTGTCCCGATGTCTGGTCATTGGTGAGTGAAACCCATCTATGTTGTATAGGCTTGTATGCACATTCGCATCTAGTTTAGTTTCTGTCAATGCCAATATGTTTACACCATGTGTTTCTATGAATAGTTGCAATTCCTCAAGTTTATGGGGTGCTGTTATGCTATTAATGTTAATATGGGAGGCTAGCAATGTATCATGACTGAGTTTAGGTCCAGGATTAGTTTCCACACCTGCAATATGAAGCAAGTCTTTGATGTTGTGGTGCAGATTGAGGTGTCTCCATTGAGAATTGGTTAATGCTTTGTTCATGATAACTTGATTTTGTTGGTAGTTGTATTTTGAGCTGAAAGTCTGTCTTTCATGCATGCATTGTTCAAGTGTTCTTTTGTCAATGAATGATGGAATATTCTTGTCACAGGACCCCCCCCCCCCCCAGCACTACCCCACCAGCTGCCGCCATCAGAATTGTTTGTGTGAGATGTAACGAGCGAATAATACTGTGATATTGACAGCGGACACCATGGGACATTTTGATTGCATTCAGAGCATTGAAGTTTGTAATACATATTCATTTCATCGTGTTACATGTTAACATTATTTGGGCACACATCAACATGTCTTTTGTTGTACATAGGTGTTATTATTATCTAGTACTTATCTATGGGTCAGGTTAAATGAGGTCAACTGAGGTCAAATGACGTTTTTGCCAATAACTTGGCACATAATGGCGTTAGAGCTTAAAAAATGGTATCATTGTGTTCCTGGTGATCAGCCTAATCGAATGATATGCGATATGATGCAATTTGGTGAACTTGAACTTAATTTATTAATTTAAGTTTACTTAAAATTGAAGAAAAACTAAACTTAAAGTACACTTAAGCAAGCTAAAAAGTATATCATTCGACGCGCCTTGACGTGCGGAGTTCACTGGTGCTTTTCTTTTGCTCTATCTTAATTAGATCAAAAGTTATAAGCGAAAAACTTTTGACCTGTTTTTAGCGAAATTTTTACATTTATACCCCCAAAACCCCCCTAAATATTGACCTAGAGCAACCAAATTTGTACAGGGCTCCAGGGGGTCCACCTACCTACCAAATTTGGTGTTTCTAGGTGCCATAGGAGCCAATCGCGAGGGGGGGGGGTCGCATCGACCCCCCCCCCCCTGCCACGCCGTGTTATGAAAAATGCCCTGCCAGGGCGAGGGTTAAGATCATTGTCCAAATAGCGATGAAAGAATCAGACAAGTAGGCACTAGGCAGCATTGTCAAAAGAATTGATGTTTTATTGTTTTTGTAGCAGGAGTGCTCCACTTGTGCCCTGTTTCCGTTCCCTGATGGCTGGTCCGTGTCTGTTCAGTGTTCCGCTCCCCTGTCTCGTTTTCGAATGCTTCGATTATTTGGTTTCGCCGACTGTCACGTGCTCTGCCCGTACACCTATCATATTTCATCTTCTCCCCTTGCTCTGTTTCATAGTCCTTGTCCTCTTTCCCTTTCTCATCCCTTTATTGCTCTCCTCCTCAGTCCTTGCGTTCCGCCCCTTGTCCCGTGCCCCGCCTTCTATACCTACCACGTCCCATTTCTCCTACCCCGTGTCCCACACGTGCGAGCGCTAATGTCTCCATCGCGACCCGACCCGGAGCGGAATTAGTCCCGTGATGTATGGCAGTCGGCACCGGCTGGCTGGCCTGCCGGAGACGACACGCGGACGACTTTTGGAAACGCCGCCGGTAACTGCCACCGGAAAAAACTGCCGCGATTTGCCACCAAAATGTTGTCACCTATCGCAAACGGAATGGTGTTGTGAGGCTACAGCGCAAATGATTTTGTGAAATTCAGAAACGGGTTGTTTATCTTATCTATAAGTTTCGTGGATGACGACCACATGGAATTCATTGCGAATCACTATTGCTAGCACCTAATACCAGAGTAACAATAAAAGGCATTACATGACGTGGTTTGTTTCAAGGTTGAACTTCGATTGAACAAGTTTGAGTATGTTGTTAACAGCAGGCAAATGAAGCTGAAAGAATTAGCAGCTTTCATGTTGTGGTCGTGAAATGCTTGCCTCATCCCCAGCAGACAATGCTTTTATGGATAGTGCTTCGACATAAATCTTCAACAGAAAATTATATCCTCTTGTTTACTCCCAGGCAGGTAGTGAAAAATAGCATTTTCGAATGGAAAAGTTCCGCAACATTTATTTGGATAACAAATGGTTCCCATTATCCTAAGTGAGATATGACATCGCTTTTGAAAGCTCTTTGTATGTGGGCCGCACAGAGTCGACGCTTGCAAGCGTCTCCGATTATAGTACGGTATCCGCGCTCCATCGAATTTGAATGGATCTCAAATGCCTTCCAGCAGTCGGGTTCGCCAATAGGTCAATATTTGGCTTTTAGCGTAATGAAAATGAAAATAAATCAGTATTCAGCCAATATGGCGCCGATATTCGCTCCTCATTTTTCATCAGTGCCACGCCTCTACTCAAGAACCCCGGAACACTTAACGCTGAAACCGGGCGCTTAGGCCTGGGGAGCTTTATTGGCAATCCTAAGATTAGAGGTATAACTGAGAACATATTTCACAACACTGTTTCGTTGGGGATTTTCCACCAGCAAAGCAGATGGGTATCTATAGTAAAAGACAGCCAAGATGACATGTTGTTGTTGGTGACAAGTGACTAGTGAGTATGTGCACCGTGCAAAGCTAAAGGTACGACGCCATGGATATAACCCAAGCTGATCAAAAAATCAGATTGATGTAAAGGGTATATCAGCTTCAGTTAAAGGTCAGATACTTTACGTTTGAGCCTTCAATGCCTTACACACTTCTAGCAATCGCAATAGGAATGATCAGGGTGCTAACATCCCTCGTAAATGAAAATTTACTAAGTGACTTTGTGAATTAGCATCTCAGACTGACGAAGGACAAATGCCACTATTTTGACTGTCATGGTCAATTATTCAAATATACATGGCAGGTCCTTACTTCGTTTGAGGCCATTGGCATCCATTTGCATTGCCGATTACTGTAGGATGATTATCCCAAACCATCGATAACTTTAGAAACGCAATAGCTCGCCAATGCTGCTAAAAGGGGTCATCGAGTTCGCATAACGTATATTGCGCCATTTCATGTCAATATCCGTTTTTTTTATAAAAAAAAATCAACTGTTTTTTTTTTCGTAGTAATGCATACGGGCAAATCTTAAATTTTTGCACGAAATTTTACAGGAAGATCATTCGCCATTCATCTACACATTATCTGAATGACCGAAACTAAAGCTCCAGCATGAATAGCACATAATCTCCAAAGGAGTTAAAGAAATCAGTAAAGCAGCCTGCCTGCATAGCTTTCCTTCTAATTACTTATGTGTCATGACAGAGAGGGTGACGCATACGTTAGTCCGAACTCCTAACTGACTCATGGTAAATAATGAAAAGTATTTGAGATGAATGCCGCACTCGAATTGTCTACAAGGTTTTGCATAATGCATCAGCCTGCATTATGCAATTACTAGTGGGTGGGTGAAGAGCTGGGCTCTTCACCCACATGCGCTCTGCTGGGGGGGGGGGGTCAGATTCTGCCCCCCCCCCACTCTATCCAACATCAGAACCGACGGTAGTAGAAGAACTGGGAAACCGCAACCGAAACCTCTCATCAAGGCGGACTTTCGGAGTACATTTTTGCCTAAGTATTTACAGGCCAGGCCTATTTTACCTCGTTCCAGCTACACACTTCAGTGTGGTTCCTTTAGTTGGTCGCAACTCCTAACAAATCAAAAAGGACCGAAATGCTATGGTGACATCATTATGATACTTTCCATAAAATTTTAGTTATTTTCTTATATTTAAAAAAAAACAGACACTCACACGAGCATTTTACATAAACAGACTTTATGAGGGTACAGGTGTGACTAACCACCATTCATAAAACCTTTTTGGGAAATAATAAATAGTAGTGGAGCTGGTTATTTCAATCCACATTTCATGTCTTCATCATGCAATGCAAAAAATATTAAACTGACGCTATTTTCCTGCGCTTGCTGGCATCATGTGTTGGTCACATCGCTCTGTTTCTGACCGATGAGGCCATTTGTCAGAGGGGAAACATCAGCCGCCGATTTCAATACATTAAGGCGGCCAAGTGGCCTCTGAGTCTCGCTTTGGGATGTCTCTTTGTTCATCCCATTTGACCGCGCAATAACCCGGTCGGCTAAACGGGCCCATTATGCATGGACAGGCTTTGCCATAGTTGTGATGGGTGGCCAAAAAGTAAATTATGGATGCCATAAATTGAACGAAAACGCCCGAGTATCAGCTGCTACTGGCATTGTATGACCCCCCTTTGTTTTTAGGACACATGCTGGTGCATTGTGCAACAAGAAAAATTGTATCTTTTAACCCGCCATTGACTGAGGGAGGCCGGAGGGGGGGGCTTAGCGCCCCCCTGCCAGCCTTTCGCGATAGCTGAAGAAATAATCACGTGATCAACCTGAAATTTGTTATAACTTCTCCTGCACCAGTTTGACATTGGCTGTTCAAATTTTGACAGAATTTGTCAAACGATTTGCCTTAAAGCTGATTTTATGATGTCAATACATACACGCCAGTTTCGACCGAAAAGTGGCATGTAGTAAGTATAAGCTTCCTAAAAGCTATATCATTTGTGACATTTGACAGAGTTGCAACTTGCAAGTAAATATAAGCAAGGCACCAAATATAGTGTTCTACAAAGAACAAAGTGGCTATCTCGGATTTTCAAACAACTTAGCTTTTGATAAAAATTTCAGAATCCTCAAATTTTTTGAAACTTATCTCATATTCGTTTGCTATTCAATTTTTTAGCGGAATATATCTGACAGGGCTATGTGAGACGAACCGCTGTGCCAAAGCTCAGCACGCTACCTCAATATTTGACCTCCAAATCTAATACATACCTACTTTACCTCTCAGTATTGTGTCCAATGATGACACAATTATTTCCTATGCCATTTTTCTGACCTAAAGGTATCGTACAGAGAAACAAAAGTTCCTTAGATTTACATGACCTCATATTCCAAATTTTAGGATTGCATCTGATGCGTCTCGGTGAGGCCTTTCCAACACCGCCTCATGCGTCTCGCTACGATGCTGATTTTTGTTCGGCTGGAGGCTCAGTCAAGTGCGGGTTAACGTAAGCTCGCATGTAAAAAAGAAAAAAAAAGTACCTGGCAGTGACTTGGCGGCGACATTGTAGTACAGGAGAATGGCTGTCATACGAAAGAGCTCCACTCTGCCGGGCATCCGCGTCATATCTGCAACAAAACGAGCTGTCAGTGAACAGTATTGTGGCACTCCATACACACATTGCATAATTTCACACGGGAGATAAAACATGAATAAAGAGGAGACTGAGAGAGAGAGAGAGAGAGAGAGAGAGAGAGAGAGAGAGAGAGAGAGAGAGAGAGAGAGAGAGAGAGAGAGAGAGAGAGAGAGAGAGAGAGAGAGAGAGAGAGGAGAGAGAGAGATAGAGAGAGGGGAGAGAGAGATAGAGAGAGGGGGAGAGAGAGATAGAGAGAGGGAGAGAGAGAGAGAGAGAGAGAGAGAGAGAGGAGAGAGAGAGAGAGAGAGAGAGAGAGAGAAAGAGAAAGAGAAAGAGAGAGACCGCAGGGATCAGTTATGGCTTACATGTATAAGAGTATAGTTGTTAGTTATTACATCAAAACAAATATGTCAGCCGAACAAAAACCTCTATATGAAATAGCACATCATTATGGGCTATGGATGCGGAAATAGAGTACCGTATTTGGTAGCTGATATCACACTTCATCTCATGGAATCGCCCACCGGATTCAGATATTCACGAGGCTATAAACATGCCGTGGATGTATTGGATAGGACCACTATAAGCTCCTATGTACGTCACCGCGGTTCTGTTGATGTTCAGCGGAGTGCAAAGAGGCGGCAGAGGTGGTGGATGGGGTTAGCCAGGGTGGCAACAGTCATATCACGGAGACCCTAAGTACAAACGCAGCAAGACTGGTGACGGTGATCGAGAGCGTCACATATGTCTGGGGAGGCGATACACGAAGTGGCTTTCAATCAGCGGAAAAACCCGCTGAATTTAGCTGAAAACAAACGAATAAATTTAATAAAAAAAATGGGCATCTGGTCCAGTGACCTTTGTGACCGGCCAGGCTTGAAGCATTATTAGGTCTTTCCTTAGCGAGTCCTTAGCGACCACTGACAACATACCTCTGGCCATCTTTATGCCATTTTATTGGTTCTCGTCTTAAATCCATAGAACAACTAGATCCGATGCCAGTTTGACGCAAGGGATCACATTATTCAACATTCTAATTTACTCATGGCTGAAATCAGACCCTCACTCTCAACGACTCCCGCCGCGCCACTCGAGTAAGTTCACGACTAATGACGTTCGTCGCGCGCGGGACGTCTCACTTCCCGTGCGGTGGAGATATGGGAAGTCCGGTCACCGATCGAGTCGACCCTCCCACGTCAGAACAGCGTCGATCGCTGACCCGGACGTCGTAACCACCGGCGACACGGGCTGTTCCACGCGACGTTAATCACCAACTTCTGATTTACAGTCGGCAGAAGTTGGTCGACACATCCGTGACCGCTCCGTGTCAACGCCAAACAGTGCCCATCGGGAGGGGACTGCGTGCGACCGTCGCCTTCTTTCGTTTGCCGCCTCGTGCGTTTTGGTGCGTCTATTGATTTTCGAGTTTTCGGCTGGAGGCTTTTATCCCCTCCCCCTCCCTCCAGCAAACGGCGGTTGGCAAAATACCCCAACAACTGCAGGGTTAAACAATGTTAGCTTGAACTCATCTACTTATTGTAAGCATCCTGTCCGATCTATTCATATCACCGATTGCCAGCAAATTGCTTAAAAGTAAAATATTTCAATGCCGCACGACCATCCATTTGCTGGAATGGGTATGATGATTGTATATAGATTATAGGAAATCGCCATCAAACAATTCAATTGGGTTTCCAATGAACGTCAGAGGAGGCGAGTAACCGACGACAGAAGGCTGCAGTTGATAATGACGTACCGATTTCTCCGATGTAGTTTACTTATATGCACCATGACAGCTATGATGCTACGCTGTGGCTCTGATCTTCCAAGCTCCCTGCCAGGGAGGCGCTGAACATCTCTCAACTACCCGGCCTCCCATTCGTTGGCAACGGCCGTGTGTGGCGTTTCAAATCAAAGATGTCCATTTTTTTAAATTTAATTTGTATGCCTGTATGGACAAGTGATAAAGTAGTTATAAGCTATAACATTAGAGCTACGGCCATGCGTTTGACCATAACAACATGGGTAACACATGGCCTCCAATGTCAAATTTACCGGATTTCGACAACGTCGTACATACCTACTAGGAAATGACAAACCCAACTCGTGAACATGATATGCTAAAAGTTAGGAGATGTTTAACTTTTTCTACAGCTATTTGCTCTTCTGCGCCGTTCCAATCATCGGGTTTAACCTCAGATAAGTGATGTGATCTTCCGAGACAGAAAAAAACGCCAAAAAGCTATTTGATACGACTATGCTTCTTTTGTGATAGAGTTCTGAGTTGGCCTCTTCAACATGCGATTGCATAGCATGTCAAGAGTCGTTCTAATCGAAAACGTGTTTGGATGTATAATCTATGTTTGCGGATTAACTCGGCAGTTGCTGGGGTATTTCGCCACCCACCGTTTGCTGGGGGGGGGGGGGGCGTTAAACGCCCCCAGCCGATAACTTGAGAACCAATAGGAGCAGCGAAACGCACGGGGCGGCAAACGAAAGAACACGACGAGACGCTTCAGCTGAGTACTTTAAAGTTGAATTTCGAGGTCACAGGTCAGGTCAAGGTCAGGTCAAACACCTGAAATCGGGCTTTCAGTAGCATGGACTTCAGGACTTTGCAATGGGCGCCTCTCGTCATAAACTCTGTCAAAACGGTGCAAAATCCATCATATAAGGCCTACAAGAGTGTCAGCTCCATGCAGGGGTCAGTCAAGTATAGGTCAGGGTCAAGGTCAGGTCAACCGGGCAGGCACATATCCCCGAAAATAAAAACTGATATACGCAGCCTGTGACACATGTTTTATGGGTAATTTGGGGCGTAGAACACGATGGGGACATTCATTTTATCATATGTGTACGTGTTTAGCTAAAAAAGTTCAATTTAAGAAATTCATGTATCATGGTCGTGAAGTAGTCACGAGAAATTGCCAAGATTCAGTTCAAGATTTTGGAAAATGCGGATCCATAATCAATAATCGAAGATAGCCATTTGATTGTTCGTGGTATTGGTAGTCTAATGGCGTTTACGGCATGTCTATATGTCTATTCTGTGATTTTATATGATTTTTTTTAACATATGCCGTTTTTGGTCGAAAACTCAGAAATCATGACTAATCTAAAACCTCGAAATCTCAAAAATTTTCCGACCGATTTTTTTGAAACTTTGTCACAATAAACTTCAATCAATTCCCTACAGGTACCCAAAATTTGGCGCGCCTGCGGCGCGCCGGTTTTTTTGCTATGGCCCGGCGAAAAAAGTGGGGGCGTTTAACGCCCCCCCCCCCCCAGCAACTCGCGGGTTAAACCGCGTGTATTTTTATACATTTTGCAGGTCATATCCGTTCCATCATTGGAAGTGTGCGGTGCTTGAGATAAAAGTCATGCTACAAAACCAAGCGAGATATTTTCTAGTGAAATGCCATTGAAACTTACTTTAAAACATATTGCACACAAAGCAATGTTCTTCTTCGCTGACCAGCGTACAAAAACATAATGTAATCTTTATTCAGTAAATCCGCAAAAGTAGATCAAGGGCGAGCTATGTCACTGTAGGTGCGACAAACAGCATGTCAACACACTATCTGCTGAGCTCCCACCGTAGACACACAGCATTGGCACACAGGCCTTGGCAGGAAATATAGCCAATAGGCGGCGCTCGAACTTTTTGTGATCCTCGCCAACTTTGATTCCCGGATGATGAGTGACGCCGGTTGAGATACAATATTTATTGAGATACAATATTTACTTATGCCGGTCCCGTAGCTCAGTTGGTTGGAGCGTTGGACTCCGCGTGGTGAGAGCACGCGTTCCCGGTTATGACAGTCCGGGTTCGAAGCGCGACGGGCGCTCGATATTTATGGGCCTCCTGACAGGTATGGTTGCGGTTGGTGGCAGGCCGTAGCCAGGCGAAGTCAGCGAGGGGACCGGCCGTGCGCGGCTTTTTTTTTTTTTTTTGTCTTTTACCGTTTTTTTTTATATATATCTTTATTTATTTCACATCTTTACGATTCAAAACAAATAAACGACACACTAGGAAAGAAACAAACAACACACATCGTCAGTCAGGCAGCGCCACAAGTAATGAGCAGTGGAGTGGCGGCAGGTGGCGCCGCTCGTCTCCAGCATGGGTCCAGATGGCGCCACGCATTGGCGGCAATAAGAAAGCCAACTTTAACTTAAAGAAAACATTAAACAGCACAAAAATCTAATAATAGTACGGGTAAACAGGATGCACGTTTATATGATGCCAGCTCATCGTCGACGGCAGCGCAGCCCGGGGCGGCGGGCAGAGTCAGACTGCCGGGAGCAGCTTCTGGCAAGGACACCGCCGGCAAACAGTTGACGATCGGGTTGAAAGCGCCGAGACTGCTGAAGCCATAATAAATGTTACGTTTAAGTTATACTACGTTGTACATGTGCGGAGTTGTGCAGCAATGATAGAGGGCACCACCCGCCCGCCACGGCCCCGCCGCCCGCGTGTCTCCCCCCATCACATCGCTCAAGGAAAGGGGAGGAAGTGAAAGCTAGGAAAAGGAAACAAATTATAAAAAAACTTGCTCGTTTGTGGTGTGGCCCGCCTGGCCAGGCCGGGACGATGCCGTCCACGGCCCTGGGGAGATCTGGGGGATACCTCCCCAGCCGGGGAGAGCTGTGGGTTACCTCCCCGGCGCTCCAGGCGGGCCATCAGCCACCGCCCGCGCCGCCCTGCGAAGACGTATCGCGGGCGGCGCCCCCTATCCACCGGCCGGGCGTGCGAGCCGTCGACTTGTAGGGCCGGCGCCCCGCACGCCCGGCCGGCCGACCGGCCCCAGTCAAAGAGGCCGGTCCCGGGTTGGCCCGGATGGGTCATGGGAGCGGTGGCTGATTATCAGTTTATGCAGCATTCCAAAAAAGCGATCAAAGTTACGGCGCTCGGCCGCCAGGGTTGCTGGCATGCACGCGGCCCTGAAAGCTCCGGTCTTTTAAATCGACCAGGACTAAGTTCCAC